CAAGCTATTTTGGGAAGATTCCAAAGCTGATTAATTATTATTTGGTGGGAGGCTGGCCCACAGAGACACCTAGCATGAAGTCAGGGCTCCTACTGAGGTCTCAGTTGTGAGTGTGAGACCGCCATATAAATGAACGTCTGGATGTGTCAATCCTGTGTCAGAAATATGTATATGACACCATCCACAATGGCAGGTGGGTATGTGTGAATGCATGAAGAATGACAGTTACAGGTAAGGAAACCTGTCTTTATTCCTCCTGGTCTCTGTGCAGTACACATATGGGTGATTGGCAAACTTAACTTATGGAGGAGGGTGGTGTCGCTCAGCGGAGTAGAGAGGAGAGGACACCTCTACTGAATGTGCAAGTGAATCTGAGGATAGACTCGGAGAGTAACGTACCAATGAAGGGCGCATTGGGCTTTCAATAGATACCAAGGCAGTGGTTGGCATCATTGTCTCAGCTTGCAGCGGTACACACAAAGAGCAATGTTTGGTATGGGAACTACACTTCTTTTCTGGTTTGTCTTTCTCATTATGTTTTTCCTCATGAGCCTCCTTTGTCGCAATGTGTTTATGTTTCTCCTTGCACTTTTTTGGAGATTGAGACCTACCAGGAGTTTTTGTCATGGGTTCCAATGCTCTGGAGGTTTCCTCAGTTGGTCTGGATGCACGTTCAGAAGCACCGCCATGAGAAATGGAAGGACTGGCTCATTTTCGCACCATGACAGTCTTCACTGCTACCAGTGCTCTATCCCCAAGCTTCATTTTAAGGTGACTCTCCCAGTTTTTACGTGTACACTTGGTAAAAGCTTGGCAATATGCACACATTTGTCTACTTGGTGGTCTTTGCCCAGGCAGAGGAGACAGAGTGAGTGAGTATCCGTCGAGGGCATTTTAGCCCTGCATTGAACACACTTTCCGAACCCTGACTGCTGAGTCATTGAGAAGGAGTAGGGAAGACAGAATTTGGAATAAGGGTAAGACAACAGAGGATTTTAAAAAAATATTTTTTATGGAAATGAGGGGGAAAGGGGGGTTGCAAAAAATTGAAAAGGAGAATAAAGAGTAAAAGATTTAAGGTTGAAAGTTTAAGGTAATGTAAAGTTTTAAGTAGAAGAAGAAGGTATTCTAAAGAAGAGCAGTGAGAGAAACCCGAGACAATACTAACAGCAGTCGAAAGTAGGCTGGCGAAAGGGCAGGAATCCCACACCTATTTATACCAGGAGTGTGGGAAGAGCAGCTCCCCTAAGAGAATCTTCCCAAACACAGGCACTGCGCAGTTGCAGCACCCATACGTGTGATGCACAGAGGCCACAATGAAGAACAATAACATTATCTAGCATATATTCTTAAAATCAACTATACTGGTATTACTATTAACATATTAAAACAATTATCAGAAAATATCAAAAATTTACAAGGGAGGCTTTTAAAACCCTTGTCGTAATTATGGCAATGGACACTCTTAAGATAAGCAGCCGTTGGAGGTCAACACTGCAGTGCCTTGAAATGGTTCCGCTAGGGGTTCTCTATAGCCCCATGTTTTTCGGAAGGCAGACTATAGCATTCTGTTCTAGCAGAGTCAAGGATGAGTAACACCTCATGGATTGCTAGGGCCACATGTGAATATGCTGTCCCTTGCCTACTTCCATTTTTCATCCAGTTTCTCAAATAACCCAGGAATGTCCTGTTACTTGTATGATGCAATGTCAGAACACAACACTCTTGAGTTTCAGGAGAGCAAAGAACCCAGAGTTTTGTCCCTCAGCAGTCCACAATTCTAGTTTTGGACACTGGATAAAGCAACCCATGTTTGATTTTTATGAAAACTGTTCAGAATGGGCATGGCATGCCTGCAGGTAACAGTGTGCTTGCTTACTCCAGTGTAACCCTGCCAATTCATTGGTTAAACAGCCCATGGATTGGTAGTACATATGAACTGGAGCACAAAAGATTGCTGTACAATTTTAAATTAATATAACCAAATCATCAGCCAAACTGAGAAAAAGCAGTAGATTCAAAGAGTTTTTTCAGAGAATATAATCCAACTAGAGAGGGAAAATCAGTGATCTCAAATAATGATGTCCCCAAGCATAAGCACTTCTATCTTGTCTGAACTCAGCTTCAATTTATTTTCCCTTAGATAATGGCACCACCCTGCAGCCCACAGCACTAGAAAATAAAAGAGCTGGATGTCTTTAGGATATGAATGATGGCACATGCAAAACGTTCTCTTTCATCCCTAGTAGCCACATAAACAAATAATAAAGAGCACTGACAACAAGGCACTTCCTCATCAGAACTCCTCTGGTTAAATACCATGCAGCAAAGCAGCAAGAATTCAACCCTCAGTGCTGCTTGGACAGAAACAACCATCAGCATGATGCCTTTTAACCCAATTGCTTCTAGCAATCCAAAAGAATTTAATGGCTAGTGGTTACAAAAGCTACTACAAGGCACACTGTCATATTCTTTGTAAGATTCAGTTGCAGACAATCAACCACCCCATGAATGTAGTTGCTTTTCTGCACTCTGACCTATATCTAAATTAAGGAAAAGGAACAAATATAAACCAAGTATTGTTGGAGCTGCAAACCCATGGCCCATTCATTTACCTTTCCCAGAAATGCTGAAGTGCAAACAGACTGCTATCTAAAGTTGCTTGCTATAAAATGGTTTTGATAACAGAGGGAAAATGAAAACTTTGTTGATTTCAAGCATCACCATTCCTATTAGTGCTCAGCTAACCACTGCAGGACAAAAGAGCCCCCGTTTCAGAAGTGGTGGATCACTGAGTGGCTGATTAGCCTTTGAGTTCTACAAACACTGCTCCCTGAAAGAAAATGATGGCCAGGGTAAGCTCTTCTGTTAATGTCCCAGGCCCACCTAAGGTGGCAGCAATAATATCTCTGTCTAGGTGATGATGCAATCAAAGTTAAGAATGTGAGCTTTCAGAAGCAGAAATGAACAAGTGCTAACTGTTTTTCCAACCTAGTATACTTCATAGCTCTGAAATGTCAGTCAGTGATGGAAGGTGTTTTTCTCCCTGTATTGGCTTCTGAAGGGTTAGAAGGACCTGCCACCTCTTACCAGGCTCCCAAAGGGTCGAGCTTAGTTTCCTGGCCAGTGCCAGCAACCCGACAGGCTCTTAATTCAGCCCAACTGACAGAAAAAAGACACCTAGCAATGCCTCAAGTCAATGATGTCACACACTTTGACTCAGCTGCAGCTTTCTGTCCCAGCCAAAATGAGCAACACCTGAAGTGGCCAAAGGAGGAAGGGAAAGAAAGGTAAGGCAGTGAGGATAAAAGGACCACAGGAAGGAGGGCAGGGGAAGGGCGTGCAGTAGAGGCTACAATGACAGTGGGTGAAACCCAGGATGTGGAGGGGAGCTGCACAGGAGAGACAGCAAGAGAGGGAGTGACTTGGGAGAGACCAAGAGCAGATACACGTGCTGCTTGTGGTTGGGAGCTGGATTGCCACAGGCTTGTCTGGCTCCCTGAAAGCAGGAAAGACAGTGCTGCTTCCTTTTGCTGTCAGATCCTGCATAGAGTTGAATGGCCCACTTGATAGCACTCCTTCAGAGAGTCAGGAAGAGGGGGATTTGACTCAAGTTACTTATGGGCTACAAGTCATGGGGGGTGGGGGGGCTGTTGGAAAAGCAAGCAGCAACCCTGGGTTTTCTACCAGTTATTCCCCCAGGAGTTACTGGAGACAGTGATTATAGCATAGGGAGGAGCAAATCCCTGTTGTGATCTATATAGCCTGCCATACTATTATTTTGGAGTGGTGACTCCTCTTTCTATTGAAGTTTAACTGGACTTAAAAGTCTTTAAAACACTTTTTGAGTGTGACCCTGCTGATGGAAGCACTAGAGCAGGGAGGGTTTGACGTTCCTCTTACTCCAGACCCCAGTGCCATGTCCCTACTCTGGTACCTGTCAGAAAGAACACACAGCTCCAACTGCTAGTTGTCCTCAAACAGCAGAGCTGAAAGCAGAAACACTCCAGCCTTCAACCATCAGAATTAAGGGCTATTGGGAGGTTGCATCCCCAGGAAAAACCCATGGACACTGAAAACGTGCACCTATTCAACAGAAAGAGAAATGGCAGCTATAGAGAGCTTGCTTCTGCCTACCTACCAGAAAAGAAAAAAAAGAACCACTCTGCACTGACTAAGCCCTCTGCAGTCATCTCGCAAACTAATCACTGCTGGGTTGTGCATTTTGTTGGGTGTTACATTGCTTTGTACAATTGTTATAAGCAGTCTTAAGGGTCATTTGATCAAAAAGGTGAGGTATAAATCTTTAAAAGATACCATTATGATGTATACTACCCAGTTGCATGGAGGAAGAAGTTCATTTATTGCAGGAAACATGGGACAATAGAGACTTTACTTTTGGTAAAAGATTGAACAAATCAAAACCATACATGAAAATGTCTCTCTCAATATATATGGTAATATTTGCATTACATAATTGTATTTGTCCCCAGTAGACCAACAATGTAGGTTCAAATACTTCAGGCACTGCTTGTTTCTTTATTGGCTTACGCTTGATTAAGAGACAGAACATTCTTGATTAGCATACCAGTAGGACCTACAACAAACTGCTGCAAAGTGGAGAGCTTCTTATTCAAGGATGCAGCCAGAAGGCTATGCTATCAGGTAAGGTATTTCCATTCCCTCTCCTTGCCATTTTTTCCTTTCCCCATTCCAGCAACAGATACTGGCCATAGAACATGCTTAACCCTTAATGTTTAGGTGACTTCCAATAACTGGATCTAGGACCCTCTATATTGGTTCTGCGGGCAGCGTGCAGGCAGGGGGGAAATCTTTACTCTGCTTCATGGGACTAGAAGAAGCTTCACTGAATAAAAACCCACATCAACAGTTACAAGGTCACTGAGTAACATAATATGCTCTAGTTTATTAATGTATACATGTCAGTACAGGAACTATTCTCACATAAACACACACACCATTATTTCAAAAAGCCTCACCTTAGTCCATGGATGTGCCTTAATCTGAGGAAATTTAAATTCAGTGTAATTGGGATTCATCTCTCTAATCTGCTCTCTTGTAGGGGTTCCAAGGACCTAGAAAATGGAAAAGATGGACCATTAACACCTTGCTATGAGACAGCTATAACAAGAGAGATCTAGCCCCAGTATGGCATCATAGTTAGAAGGCTGGACTAGGGACCTAGAAGATAGGGGTTCTAGTTCGAGCATGAAGTTCAGTTGCACCAGTCACTCATTCTCAGCCTAATTCACAAGGGGTTTTGGTGCAGATAAAAAAGGAGTGGAGGAGAACTATGTAAGTCTCTGGATTCCTCTCAAGAAGAAAAAAAGATAGGATATAAGTGCAATAGAAGAAGACAAAGAAGAAGATGATGATGATGAAGACAATGATGACAGAGGAGGAGGAGGAGGAGAAAGACACAGCAGCAGCTAGCTTTCATGGGTACAATATTATTTTTTTAATTGTGTTTCTGGAGCAAAAGCAAACACTTCTGCAATGGAATAGAAGGCAGTGAGTGGTTTTTAATTTTTTTAAAAACACATAGTTCTCTAATTCTACTCATATTCCCATTTGTTTCATTAGCTAAATGTACTATTTTATTCTAGAGTAAGCATAAGTAAATGAATTCTTTCTCTTCATTGTTTGCTGAGAAAGATTACCCTTAACAATCCAGCAATGAGCAGAATGAAGACTTATTTTCTTGCTTTTGGGGTGGGATGCAGGTAATTCTTATGCTATTTTAAAGATAGTTCTTCAAACCCAATTCTGGTTACCATGTACCTGTGTATTTCCTCAAATCTATCTCTGGTTGTTGTGGGCCAGCACATGCTTTTTCTGAGCCAGTTACAGTGCCTCTGGCCCATGGGGTTCCCCCGAACCTATTTCTGGTTGTTCTGGTTGCTTATCCAACACCAAAGGAGATATTATCATTCTGTATTAGTGGGCAGAGGTGCACAGTTGCAAGAATGCATCAGCATTCCTACACTTGCTTTTAGAGAACAATCTGGGAGGAGCTTAGAAGTTGACCCTGGCACATCCTTAGACTCCTCCTCAAATACCTGTATGTTGCTAACAGGTCCCCTCTGAGTCTCCTCTCAAGGCTGAAAAGACCCAGCTTCCTCAGTCTCTCCTCCCTGAAAACCAGCCACCATCCTAGTGGCCCTTCGCTGCACTGATTCCAACCTTGCTATATCCCTCTTGTAATGAGGGGCCCAGAACTGAACACAAGACTCCAGCTGAGGGCACAACAGAGTCATATAGAGTGGGAGTAATACCTCTCTCAATCTAGAAGCCACACTTTTGGCTACGCATCCTAGGGTGGCATTTGCCCTCTTGGCCGCCACCTTACACTGCTGACTCGTGTTTAGCCTGTTGTTGACCAGCACCCCAAGATCCTTTTTCACAAGTGCTGCTCTCCAGCCACTTGTCCCCTAACCTGTATGTATGATGCCCATTGCTATGCCCCAAGTGCAAGGCCTTACACTTATTAGTGCATGGATGACTGTAGCAAGGCTCTGATTGCAACTGATACATCAGCTGAAGCTGATAAAAAGTGCTCCTGAAAACCAGCTCTGCCTGGGCCAGCAGGCATAGCTTGGGAGGAGGATCAGGCAGAAGAAGAAGAGAGAAATGTTAGAATAAGGAGGAGTAACAATAGAAGGGTTTTTTAAAATATATATATTATTTTGTAAGGGATAAAAAGTGGAAGGGGAGGAATGGGAAGGCAAATGAGGAAGATCAGAGAGCAGAAGTAATGTGAAATACATGCTGAGTTGAGAAGTAAAAAAATGAGAGTTTGTGAGGAAAGGCTGAGGAAATTGAAAGCTAGAGATCCCGATGCACTGTAAAAGGCAGTCAAAAGTGAACTGAGCCTATTTAAGCAATGGAGAAAGGGAGGGGGGCCCACCAAAAATTCTAGGCTTAGGTAGAGGAATCTTCCTGAATGTGACACTGTGCAGGAGCAGCACCCGTATGTATGATGCACAGAGACCACAACAAAGAACTCCAGCTCTGAGATCTGACAAGGTAAGAGCTGGGATTCTGAATGCGCAGCCTCTGCCATGCTCCTTTGAAGCCAGGGTGGACCAAGAACCATCCTGGCTGCATCTCTATGGTCAGAAATCACACTGAAAGAAGACATGAAGGGGTGTGCCATGGAGAATGCTTGTATTCAAATGGTGTTTTAAATGCCTTTCCTCACCACAGCAGTTCATCTAGAAATGAAGAATGTGAGGCAGCAGAGACTGTCACTGTTCTACTCTTTGCCCTACACCGGATACATATCAACCTTCATGCTTCAAGGTTTCTGTGCACTAGGAGTGGCAGATTGTGTTCTTAACCACATATATTTTGCATGCTTTCCTTTTAAGCTATGCATGGATAGCTTTAAAATATTCCCAATATCATTCTTATGACTTTGCATTAAGCATTTTGTGTCTCCTTCCAACATGAATAAGAAAAACAAGAACATGTGGGGTAATATCAGGGGGGCAGGACCACGCTTTTGATGTGATGGAACATGTCTGCTAACATGTGATGGGCTGTGTCCTCTGACATCATCTGGCCTAAAGGTAGCCAGGGTGGGAAGTTGCCACTCAAAACAGTTCTGCATCCATAACTGGATCCCAAATCCTATGCTGCCCTTAAATTCTTAGGTTGCAGCAGTGGACAAAAGCAGTTTTGCACAGTTATACCTAGTGAATTACTCTGAATCGGAAAGTGGTCCATTCCTCAGTTACATCATGGTTAGGACTATTGAAAAGTGCCCGACAATGAAGAGTGCTGGGAAGCTTTGTCTGATGCAAAATGCAGGTACTAATGAGGTACCGGGTGCATATTACTGTGATCATCCCACCTCAATACTGAATGGTGTGCAATCATTTCCTGGGTGTAATTCAGGTTGTTGGCTTTATTCTTTAGCCAAGGTTAACCTTTTAAGCAAGTTCTTGGTTTTAACCTCTAGACTTCTGTCTTCCTGTCTCAGTAACCGAACAGGTTTGTATTGAAATGAACAGGAATGGTCCTTCTTGAAGACACTCTTGCCCATAGTGTCCTGTTTGTCATACACATGGAAAGGGGCTTTCTCTGTACTATTCCCAAATGCTAACACAATGGTTGACCTCAGAAATGCAGTATAGAAATAGAGCCAAGTGACCAACATTAATAAAATAATGCCCTTAAAAAAAAAATCATACCTTGATTATTTCCACCAACTGATCTACACCACTGTCACCTGGGAAAATTGGTTGTCCTAGTAATAATTCTGCCAGTACACAGCCAGCTGACCAAACATCTGAAAAAAATAGGGGAAATCATTAAGAGATATTAAGGATTATAAATGTTCTTCATTTTTTATGCCTACAGATCATTAGGGACCAGCTGAAACAGAGTAAGTCTTAAACCAGAAACAGATTAAGTCTTACTTTATTGGGGAGATTTCAGCTCACTGTTAACACTCTACTGAGGATAACCACTAACATAGTTTACATCGACTTTATACAGAAAGGGTAACTTGTAAATTGTATTAATTTGTATCTGCTTAAAATTCACAAAGCAAAATTTTACACCAAAGTAATTCAATACAGTAATTGGTAGTATTGGCCTTCTTTTCAAACTATGTCAGTCTCAGTCCCTGCATATCCCACTAGTTCTTTGGAAATCATTTCATTTGACTTTAGTCTTGACTCTTTATATTAGTATTCTATATTATTCTCCATCATCCCTCAACCTTGATTTCAGACCCTAATGCCTCACTCATGCTGACCCTCTTCCACTGCTTCTTAATTAATTCAAAATTAATGGGCTTTTTAAAATGTCTTAGTGTTTTAATCAAATAAATAAATAAATATGAAACTAAAAACTCACAAAGGAGGAAAATGCTGCGTGTATTGATATTGGAGTTTACAAGCAAGCATCACAACAAGGCAATGCGGTACAAAGAACCAATTGCCTGGGGCGATCAGGGCTCTCTCACACTGGAGGCACTCAAGATGCAGCTCAACAGCCATCTGATGTATTGAGCTGTGGGTTGGATCCAAAGGTCTTAATGGCTGCTTCAAATTCTATGATTCTATGAATCAAACACCCCTGTCCACAATGGACACTGTGCACAGAGAGTCATTGTTACTTTAAGGCTGTATAAGCAAGTATTTCAAGGTTTTCTAAGTAATAGTGCTATTTTACCAGATACCATCAAAAGCCGCAAGATTGTTGTAAGCCGCCCTGAGGCTTCGGCGAATGGGGCGGCATAAAAATGTATAAATAAATAAATAAATAAATAAATGATACTAAAATGATACACTGGGAAGTATTCAGAGAAATGCTATCAATGCCCATAAGGCAATGGATAGATCAATTTGAAATGGAAAGCTGGTGTACTTACTGTGAAACGCTATTTCGATTTGGTGCATGAAAGACATCCACCACCACCATCTGTATCTATATCTTGCCCTTTTTCCTTTCAAGGAGCTCAAGGTGGCTTACATGATTTTCCTCCTTCTCACAGCCTTAACCTCAAAAGAACAACCTTATGAGGTAGGTTGGGCTGGTCTGTTACTGGCCCAAAGTCACCCAGTTAGCTCCTTGGCTGAGTGGGGACTAGGATCTGGGGAGCTCCCAGATCCCCAAGCCTGCACTCTTAACTACTACACTACACTGGCTCCATTATGATACTGATTAACATCGCCTACTGCCCAGGATAGGCAAGGAACATGTGAACAGGTTTTCTGTCTTGGTCCTGGCCTCCATAGCTCCTTTCAGCTGAGCATTTGGACAGAGGAGTTATTAAGGAATCATTAATGCAGTAAGCCAAAATTAAAAAGTAATTTTAAAAAGAAATTAAAAGAAAATCTTTCTGTGAATATTGGTGCCCTCCATACTAGTATCAGTGGGCCTAATCAGCCAGCCACAGGCTGGATGTCTCCTATGTACTGAATTGGAATGGAACTTCATAGTAAGTATCCAACTTTCCAATGTGAAGAAGAACTCCATCACAGAATGTAGAAAAGCTGTTGTTCCCTAACTCAGGCTTGCCCTGTGCTTCAGATAATACCTGTTTTAACACTCTACATTCAAAGTCTGTTTCAGCAGAAGCATATGGCCATCTTACAATGCTTCACAAAGGTGTAGTGATGAAATGGCTGCTCTACAGATCTCCCTCCCTAAAGGGGCATTAGTAGACAAAGCTTCTGAGGGAGCCACAGCCCTGGCAGACAGTGACTTAACATGCTTAAGGAATTTTTAACCTCAGTGGCCATAAAGACACTTAGCAAGGAAGCTTTCTGCTTAGGGCTATCAGATGAAAGGAAATAAGGAATCAGAACAACTAAGTTTCTTAGTCCTGAAGTATATCTTGATGGCCCATCTAACATCCAGTGTGTGCCACACCCATGCAGAGAGGTGAGAAGGATTGGGGCAGAATAAAGGAACATTTCTTGAGCTCTGTGAAAAAATGTGTTAAATTGAGAATGAAATGTTGATCCAGCTGGAACATAACAGAGTCCTTACTGAATGTACAAAAGTAGTCTTTCAAGAAGAAAGCCAGTAACTTTGAAACTTTCTTGGCAGAAGTTATATTAACTGGAAGTGAGAAGCTCAAAAGGTGGAAAAGTGAGAGCAGAATGGACTTGATGAAGGTTCCATGTAGGAAAATGATGTAAAACTGGAAGGAAGATACGAGATGGTACACTGAGGTGTGGGTGAACATGAAATGGTTTGGGACAGGGCTTGGAAAGAATTGTTGGGGAAGGGGGGGGGGCAACTGTGGACAACTGAGCCCTTTCCTTGAGTTAAATATCTAAGCCTGCTTCTAGGAAGAACAACTCCTTGATTCCTGCTGTTTTATAATCTACATGATTCTTTCCACACCAATGAATGAATGATTTCCAGGTTGTTTCATATACTAAAAGTATAAAATGATGTTTGTTCTTTTGTTGAAAGGATCTAAAAAAAGAGAAGACAGGGCATTCAATAGCCAGGCAGTTAAACGCATCTAACTGGGTCTGGATGAGACACATGGCCTTATTTAAGAAGCTCAGGTGTTGATGGAGAAACCAGGAGTCTGACTGTGTTAGCTACAAGATCTGGGGGAATCATGGTCACCATGGATATATGTTTCTCCTTGATCTTCTTGAGAACCCTGGATAAAAATAGAAATGGCAGAAATGCATAAACTCTATCCATTAGCCAGGGAAGTAGAGAGCACTGTGACTTTTAGGTATTTGGGGAAGTGGGACAGTTGACTGTTAGTGGGGAGGAGAAAAATGTAGGTGAAAGTGACAGCAGTCATAAAAAAAAAAAAAGTATCAGTTTGGGAGTCCATTTGCTTAGCTCGAGTTGTTGCTGATTAGTAAATGAATTTCCATACTGAAAATCTCTTGGATGTGCTGTGCTGTAATAGACAATATGCCTACTGGAGGAAGGAAGAGGTGTTTTGTATAGAGATTTGGATCTCAACCCTGCATGGTATTTTGTGTGGGCTAAGGATGTGTTATTGTCTGTTCTGAGTAGCAAATGGACAGGCCTGTGCACTGAACAAAATGTCTGAGGTGGATTGTTCTTAATTCTAGCCACTTGATATTGTGGTAGTTCATCTTGGGGAGCCATGTCCCACACTGGAGGAAAAACTATCCAATTCTTTATTGTTGATAATATCGTTAACTAAGAAGATAGTCACTTGGAATAAAAAGGAACGTTTTTTTCCTACCTTTTTCAGGGTTGCTTCTATGTAATTTCATTAGAATCCTTGTATGTGAATTCCCTCTCTTTAGGATTACGACTACTGAAAGTAAAGCTGCTACTGGACCATCATCTAGAGGAACCCTTGAGTTCTTTTATTATACTTGATGGTAAAAAATGGTATTTTTTAGCTATGCCTTTTGCCTTCAGTGAGGCCTTCCATTTAGCTTTAAACAATCTTTCAAAAAAAGGGGGGATGAAAAGTTATCCTACAGTTAGCAGGATTAGGCTCTGAAAAGCCTGCTTCATTTCTGGAAGACTGCTCATTGTTTCCTGAAAGGAATAATGCCCAAGGAAGTCCTGCTTTAGACAGAATAGGTTGAAAATCATCAGTGTAAAAGAATCCCCCCTAACATGATGCTTCCTCTACCAACACAAGAGAATCTGAGCCAGAAGTTTCCCCAGGAGAGATTCCCTTTGACATCTGTTTTCTTCTGTGCATGAGATGAGGACCAGGAAAATATGGGTCTAATTTGGCAGAAGCTATAGGCAGCTTAGTTCTATCAGAAGTCTTAACATTTTTGTTCTTAAGTACCCCTCTCTGTTTTTTTCTTTGGGGGAAAAAGATCATTCTCTTTGTTTATAAGGTCCCCTTCACTAAGCTAAGCTAATTCCATTCTAATGACCCATTGTATAACTTTGAATAAGGGCTGACCCTGGAAAGCAGGGACTGTTGTTTAGTTGAATTTTCTGTGGAGAAAATGGGAGGGCTATGGGGTTGCAGTAGCTCATTATTAGTTGAAAAGGACTATTCTTACAAAATGTAGGGCACATAATCCTGGGAAAACAAAAAAAAAATGTTAACTCCCCTTTCCCCTTGCTTCCATGCCCTTAAAAACTCATCCAGATTGATACTTGGCTCAAATTTCTCAAGGAAAGAATTATGGAAAGGTTGCATTCTATTAAGATTCTCTTGTGTTTGGTGAACTGTAGGATAACCAGCAGATGCTCTGTTAAGACATAGCTGGCGAAGACTGAATGTTACAGGCCTGAGGCAAAGTCTTTACAAACAGAGCCAGAGATGACTATCCATCTGCTTGGTTCTTAATAGCATTTTTCTTTGTAGGCTTGGGGTGTTTTTTGCAAGGTGATGCCACCTTGTGGGAAAAAGTCAGAAGAGCCAGAAAAAAGTACATTTTTTCCACCTTGGGGGAAAAAATAAAGGACTAGCTAGAAAAGAAAGGAACATTTCTTTAAGTAAGAGCTAGAACAAGGATTAAGAGAACAAAAATGAGGCCTAGAAAAGGGGACCATTGACATGATGACAAACTGTGTCCCTGGCAAAAGCAAGGAATGAATTGACTGGGAGGCGCCATGGAGGCCACAACTGCCAAGGTACAAAGTGTGGCCACATGTCCATTGCCTGTCCTGGGCAATGGGAGGAGTTTATCCATGATGATATCTCCTTTACACAGATAGGAGTATGTTTCTTCTATGTTTCCTGCAGCCACTTGCTAAGGTGAGGGAGGGCCATGGAGGAATGCCTCTCACTTTGGAGAAAATGTTTGGAAGTGTCAGGCGCATTAAGGTGAAATTGCATTCCTCCTTCCATTTGTG